CTGTCGTGTCGGACATCCACCACACTTCAGGGGAAAAAAAAACCCCTGTTTCTTCGTTCTTTTGGGGAGCTGGAAGTGGGGAAGTGGGGAGACGAGGAAGAGAGGAGTGGGGAGAAGAGGAAGAGAGGAGTGGGGAGGTGAGGAGAAGAGGGAAGGAGAAGTGGGGAAGTGGAGAGAAGTAGGGAAAAGAGGGAAGAAGAAGTGAGGAGGTGGGGAGAAGAAGGAAAGAGAAGTGGGGAGAAGAGAGAGAGAAGAGAAGTGGGGAGGTAGGGAGAAGAGGGAAGGAGTACTGGGGAGGTGGGGAGAAGAGGAAGGAAGGGAGGGAGGGAAGGAACTGGTAATAGAATTCTGATTCTCAAAGAGCTCACAACGTAACCATAAAAATAAATAAATATATAAAAACAAATCCGGATTCACAAAAAACTCCCATAAAACAGTTCCGGATTTTGAAGAGTTCTTGAACTCACATATGTAAATAAAAGCAAATTTCTTCCGGGTTCAGAACGACTCGTACATTAATATTTTTGAAAGCATTATCAAAAGACTCGCAGTTGTTGTGACGTGTTGCACTTTTTTTTTTTTTTGCTGCTGCCGTGTTGTTGTTGCTGCTGCTGCCGTGTTGTTGTTGTTGCTGCTGCCGTGTTGTTGTTGTTGCTGCTGCCGTGTTGTTGTTTGTTGTTGCTGCTGCCGTGTTGTTGTTGTTGTTGCTGCTGCCGTGTTGTTGTTGTTGCTGCTGCCGTGTTGTTGTTGTTGTTGCTGCTGCCGTGTTGTTGTTGTTGCTGCTGCCGTGTTGTTGTTGTTGCTGCTTCCGTGTTGTTGTTATTGCTGTTGCTGCCGTGTTGTTGTTGCTACTGCCATGTTGTTGTTACTGCTGCTGCCGTGTTGTTGCAGCTGTGTTGTTGTTGTTATTGCTGCTGCTGGTGTCGTGTGTGTTCTTGTTATTGTTATAATTACTGAGCTGTTGTTGCTATTCCTTCTACCTTACTGTTGGTGTGTTGTGGTAGCCGTTAACGATGGTATTATTACAACTACACAACATAACCTTCCCTTACGCGCTTGTTATTTGACTTACTGGAATTGTTGTCGTTGTTAAGAGGGACTGCCCTACCCTGTGTGTGTGTGTGTGTGTGTGTGTTGGGGACCGCGTGAGCGAGAGTTGAGCCCTTGATCCTCGCTCATCCCTGTTTAATATTCCTGTCCATTTTTGCGCCGCCGGGACAATGGTGGATGCATATGGATGTGGGGAGACCCGGATAGTCCCTTCCCTTCACCCTACCTCCACCTCCCTCCCTCTCCCCTGTCCCTCTTCATCCCACCTCCCTCCCTCCCCCTTGTTCACATGACGGTATACACAGGGGAGTTCAGTTTACCTTTTACTGCTTGTTACTACCTCAGGTGACTGGAGGATAATATATACTGTATAAGGGAGACTCCATACAGGTCTTCCGTTCTTCACCTTCACCCTCTTCACTCCTGTCTGTCTGTCTGTCTGATGGTATAAAACAGAGACTCTCTCTCTCTCTCTCTCTCTCTCTCTCTCTCTCTCTCTCTCTGCTTGTTGCTACCTCGTCTGCTTGGTGTTGAGGACGTGTGTAGGGAGTTGTACGACCCCTTTAATAATCACTGACTGGTATAAATAATCAGTGGGTGATTGTCGTAGTTACATCAGCAGGTTTCTAAGATACCCCCTTCCTCAAAAAATGTGTGTGTGTGTGTGTGTGTGTGTGTGTGTATACACCTCTGATCTAAGAAACAAAAATCAAACTCAGAGTCTAAATACGTATAAATCCGGAACATATATATATATATATATATATATATATATATATATATATATATATATATATATATATATATATATTGTTGTTGATATATATATATAAGACAACTACGGAAGTCCAGGTGACGCCAGACTCACCTGATTTGGAGAGACCGTGGTTGGATGCGTATATTCTCTCCAGACTGAAGAGAAGTGAACAATTGTCTGTCTGTGTGTCTTGTTATTGAACGAGAAAAAAAAAATGAAAACAAGGAGGGAAGACTGAGAGACCGGAAGGAGGAGGAAGAGGGATGGAGGAGGAAGAGGGGATGAGGAGGAAGAGGGGATGGAGGAGGAAGAAGGGGGAAGGGAGGAGGAAGAGAGCGGAAGGAGGAGGAAGAGGGAAGGAGGAGGAAGTGAGGGGAAGGGAGGAGGAAGTGAGGGGAAGGGAGGAGGAATGAGGGGAAGGAGGAGGAAGAGAGGGAAGAAGAGAGGGGATGGTAGGAGTGAGGAAACCTTTTAAAGTGGATTATTCTAACGTATTATTTACATATGCTATTGAAAATTCATTGCCGTCCTGGGTGTCGAGTGCCTAAGGAGTGGTGGTGTGTGTGTGTGGTGGTGGTGTGTGGTGGTGTGTGGTGTGTGTGTGGTGGGTGGTGTGGTGGTGTGTGTGGTGGTGGTGTGTGTGGTGGTGTGTGGTGGTGGTGTGTGTGTGTGGTGGTGGTGTGTGGCGGTGGTGTGTGGTGGTGTGTGTATATGTATGGTGGTGTGTGTGTGTGTATATATATGTATGGTGGTGTGTGTGTGTATATCTTCATATGTATGGTGGTGTGTGTGTGTGTGTGTATATGTATGGTGGTGTGTGTGTGTGTATATGTATGGTGTGTGTGTGTGTGTGTATATGTATGGTGGTGTGTGTGTGTGTATATGTATGGTGGTGTGTGTGTGTGTGTGTATATGTATGGTGGTGTGTGTGTGTATATGTATGGTGGTGTGTGTGTGTGTATGTGTATGGTGGTGTGTGTGTGTATATGTATGGTGGTGTGTGTGTGTATATGTATGGTGGTGTGTGTGTATATGTGTGTATATGTGTTTATATGTGTGTGTGTGTGTGTGTGTGTGTGTATATGTATTTATGTGGTGTGTGTGTGTATATGTATGGTGGTGTGTGTGTGTATATGTATGGTGGTGTGTGTGTGTGTGTGTGTATGTATGGTGGTGTGTGTGTATATGTATGTGGTGTGTGTGTGTGTATATGTATGGTGGTGTGTGTGTGTATATGTATGGTGGTGTGTGTGTGTGTGTGTGTATATGTATGGTGGTGTGTATGTAATGTAGTACGGTATTGCAGATGGCATACAAGTTTTTTAGGTTATGTCTGTCTGTCTGTCACTATTATGTCTTTCCTACTGTCTATGTCTATTTCCGCTGCATATCTTTTGTAACCTCTCTCTCTCTCTCTCTCCATCAGACGATAGTAACCCACAAGTGCTCAATTTTCTCGATCAAAAATTTCCCCACAAAGCGAAAGTCATCTGTTTTAAGCGGTTAATATGCATAAAAGGCTTTGCGGAACTACCATGGGGTAGAGAGGGGGAGAGGGGGGAGGCAGGAGGAGGGGAAGAGGATAGGGTTGATGGGCAGGAGGGAGGAGGGACAGGAGGAGGAGGGAGAAGGAGGAGGGGAAGATAGGGAGAGATAGATGAGGGGGAAAGAGTAGGGAGAGGTAAGGGAAAGGGGGAAAGGCAGAAAAAAGGGAGATGGAGGGGGGAGGAGGGGAAGCACTCTGCCTAATGTGTCGCTTTGGGAGAAGTAGATGAATTGGCTCCTCACAAATAATGGGCTCTGAATCACCTGTGTGTCTCGTGATACTGACAAGTGTTCTCTTTGTTGGGGGTTGGGGAGATTGGAGTGGGGGGGTGAGGTGACATGGGGTGACGGTGGATGGGGATTGTGGGGGATGGGTGAGTGAGGGAGGATGGTGAGGAGGAGGATGGGTGAGTGGGTGGGGGATGGGGAGTGGGTGGGGTGGATGGTGACTGGGTGGGGGGGAGGGGTGAGTGGGTGGGAGGATGGGTGAGGGTGGGAGGATGGATGAGGGTGGGGGATGGGTGAGTGGGTGGGAGGATGGTGAGTAAGGAGTGGGTGGTGAGTGGGTGGGAGGATGGGGTGAGTGGGTGGGGGATGGGTGAGGTGGGGATGGGTGAGGGTGGGGATGGTGGATGGTTGGGGAGGTGAGGGTGGGAGGATGGGGTGAGGGTTGGGGGATGGGTGAGTGGTGGAAGGATGGGAAGGAGGGGTGAGGGATGGGTGAGTGGGGTGGAGGATGGGTGAGTGGGTGGAGGGATGAAGGGTAGGCGAATTGAGGGATTGAAAGTTTCAAGGAAGTGTTTTTAGGCTGTCAAGGAGGGAAGAGAGAGGGAGGGAGGAGGAGGGAGGGAGGAGGGAGGGAGGGGAGGGAGGGAGGAGGAGGGAAGAGAGAGGAGGGAGGGGAGGGAGGGAGGAGGAGGGAGGGAGTGGAGGGAGGGAGGAGGAGGGAGGAGGCGAGGGAGGGAGGAGGGTGAAGCACGTCTCAGCTGAAGTCATGAACAGCTAACTGAGTATCAACAGATAAAAACAAGAATTATAATCAGATAAACAAGCAAGAGAAAAAACACCAGAGAACATTGATTGGACAGAGAGGTGTGTGTGTGTGTGTGTGTGTGTTGGGTGTATAGTTAAGCTTACAGTGCGGTATAAACAGAGGCTCTACCTTTGGCGTATTAAATAGTTATACGTAGGTGAAATTAACACGCATGTTCCAACCAATTAACAGCTAGTATGATTCTCACTCCAACCAATTAAATTACTGACTTCACCTGACCAATCAACAGACACCCCTGATTCTCACTCCGACCAATCAACAGATACCCTGATTCTCACTCCGACCAATCAACAGATACCCTGGTTCTCACTCCGACCAATCAACAGGTACCTGCACGCCCTCTCCTACCAATCATCAGCATTTAGTCACCAGCACCAACCACCGCTGCTCCTTCACCAGGCTGTCGGTACGAGGAGCTTTTAAAAGATCAATCCTGGCGCTATTTCAATGGCCTCTTTAGCTCACTATCCGGTGCCATTAAGCTACAACAGTGTCTACGGCGCCTTAACCGTCATATCCAATTAAATAGCTTCTTCTGAGTCTCTGTTACTGTTGCGGTGCTTTGTGTTCGTGGGTGCTTGTGTTCGCGGGTGTTTAGCCTGCGGGGTGCTTGTGTTCGCGGGGGCCCCAGATTCGCAGAGAGGGCCTGTGTCTGGGGCCTGTGTTCTGGGGGGCCCAGGGTTCGTGGGGGCTCTGCGTCTGGGGCCTGTGTTCAGGCGGGGGCCCAGGTTTGCGGGGGGCCTGTGTCTGCGGGGGGGCCTGTGTTCGCGGGGGGCCTGGTGTGTTCGTGGGGGGGGCCTGTGGGCTCATGGGGGCCTGTGTTCGCGGGGGCCTGTGTTCGTGGGGGGCCTGTGTCTGCGGGGGGCCCAAGCTTGCGGGGGGCCTGTGTTTTGGGGGGGTGTCTGCGGGGGGGCCTGTTCGGTGGGGGGCCTGTGCCTGGGGCCCGTACCTGTGGGGGGGGCCTGTGTTCGCGGGGCCCAGCCTGCGGGGGGCCTGTGTTCGCGAGGTAACTGTGTTCATTTCGCCGTGTTACTGTCGATTGTCACTTCCTGCTCGTTCGTACAGTATATGAACTTTACTCTTTGACTCATATTTTCTCCCGTCAAAAATTCTTAGTAACTCATAGATTAATTATTAATTACCATAAAATATTCTTTACTGCACTGGAGTATAAGCGACCAATCTATAAGCCTTGAAGCATCTGTCATTCATTTTCGTCACTTTCTCTTTTCTACTCGACTCTCTCTCTCTCTCTCTCTCTCTGCCCCCTGGAGGAGTACTGAATCATCGATACATTCCACCCACATTTAGCGATTCACCCAGACGTCCTGAATCGTTAATGGGTCCTCGGGGAGTTCTGCCTCATTAGTGGCTGTCTGCTCAAGTTTGAGATCACTGATGGGCTCTTGAGGGAACCCACAAACATTTATTTCTTTTGTATAAATTCGAAAACATTAATACTTGTGGGGCAATTTACGTGTCGTGGAGATGACTTGTGAAATAAGTGATAGATTCTTGGTAGAAGTTCACATTCACTGAGATGGCGTAAGATGCTGACAGCCTTTACAGTGACTGGCTGGTGCAGGTCTGGAATATTAAGCAGTGTGGAGACACTACTGAAGAACATGCAATACTTTGATCATCACTGGAATTTCATTTAGATAACAAGACAGATTTATGTTGTCTCATAACCAATTTAATATTACTGTAATTCTTCCCAGCCCTTATGCCCTGAGAGCTAGGATGTGTACCTTCATCACCGCCTCAAGCCCTGAAGTCTTCCCTGACATCGGACTTAACCTCCTCCCCCCCCCCGCGTGAGACGTCTCAGAAGGGGCCAGGGGGCTCCAGTGATCCCCAAGTCGGCCTCCTAAAACAGGATGTATTGCCCACTAAAACAGTTTTACCTCTCCTCAGATAGCCAGGTAACAGGCGCGGCGCTGGCTGAGTGCGGCCTGGCACACCACGCCCTTCCCACGCCTATCCGCGCCCCCCTCAGGCTAAAACACATGTCAGCCACATCCAGTCTGATGTAACAGCGCCCGGTATAAACAGAATATGATAGTCATTGTATTGTGTGTGAGAGAGAGAGGGAGAAAAAGTGTGTGTGTGTGTGTGTGTGTGTGTGTGTGTTTATCACAATCTTTCAGTCATCATCCGCCGTACTTCACACTCTACCTTCTCCTCTCACTCTCTCTCCCCTCTTTCAAAATAACTTCCCTCCCCTCACGTGTCTCTCCCAACCTGACCCTCTCCTCAGACACCCTCCCTCACCTTGACCTCTAACTCACTCTTACACCCCACCTCCCCTACTATCATCCTACACACAACCTCAAACCTATCCCCTTCCTCCACTCACGTTCCCTCCCCACCACTCCCTAAATGACCATCCCCTCTCCGAGCCCAACCTCACTCCCCAACCAATAATAACTCCCCCAGCCTACGCCCACTCTCCCCAGCCCCAACCCACACCCACTTCCCCAGCCCATACCAACTTCCCCAGCCCATACCCACTTCCCCAGCCCATACCCACTTCCCTAGCCCATACCCACACCCCCAGCTCACAAACACTCCACCAGCCCACAAGCACTTCCCCATCCCAAACCCATACCCATTCCTCAGCCCACGCCCACTTCCCCAACCCACGCCCACTCACCCATACTCACTAGGGAGGTCACCAGGTTGGGATAAATGGTGAATAAAGATTTTTTTTTTTTAGTTTGGGCCATTATGGACTACCCCTTGTTCGTCCCCAGGGCCGAGTGAACGACGTCATCCTTAGAGGGAGAGGAGGGGAGGGGAGGGGAGAGGAGGGGAGGGAAGAGGGAAAGCAGGGGAGAGGAGAGGGAGAGGGTAAAGATGAAAGGGCCCAATGAAGGGAAGTGAAGGACCTCTACATCAGGAACACAGACCTTATACGATACAGTGATTCTAGTGCCTGTTTATATTACTATAAACGACATACCTTTGTACTCCTCCTTGTGTAAAGTTTCTTCCTGTCAACCTTACCGACCTATCTTACCTACATACAGTACATATCTTAATTATCTTACCTCCTCTTTTACTTACCTCACTATTTCCTTCATCATCTCTTTACTTTGCAGTTCCCTATCTTACCTCCCCTAACTTACCTCATCTTCCAAGCCTACCTCACCCCCCCCACTCCATCTAGGTCAACTCCCCCATCCACCCCACCTCCTCCCATCTATCTAACCTTTCCCCCACCTATCTCACCTCCCCCACCTCCCCAACCTACCTCAACTCAAATCCCCACCCACTTAACCTCCCCCATCCTCTCCTCCCCACCTGCTTCACCATACTACTCCACCTACCCCATCCCCCACCTATCAAATCCCCCTACTCTACCTCACCCCCTACTTCACCTCATCTCCCCCACCCACCTAACCTCCCCCACCTAACCACTGAGGCACCGTCGGGTAACAAGGCCACTAACCTCCCCTGAATTACTCACTAGATCACCTAAACTTCCAACCAGGGGACCTGAAACTCACCTTTATGGCGCCCACACCAGGTTAACCAGCATCACAAGCAGGCTGAGGGGGAGGGGTGAGAGGAGGGTAAGAGGGGTGGGTCAAGGAGGAGGGGTGTGCAAGGAGGTGGGGGGTGTGGAAGGAGGGAGGGGTGAGGCAAGGGGGGTGGGGTGTGGCATGGAAGAGGGGGGAGGAGGTGCAAGTGTGGTAATGAGGAGGGGGTGGCAAAGAGGGTGTGGGTAAAGAGGTGCAGGTGGTGGTAATGAGGGGATGTGGGCAAAGAGGTGGGTGGGCAAGGAGGGAAGAGGAGAGGAGGGGGGTGTGGCATGGAAGGGAGAGGGGGCTGAGACAGAAAGACGTCAGGGAGGTGAATAGGGGAAGGTGGTAGGTAAGGACGAGGGTGAGGGAAGGAGAGGAGGCGAGAAGCAGAGGAGGTGAGGAGGGAGGCGAGGAACAGAGGAGGCGAGGAGGAGAGTGAGGCGAGGAGCAGAGTGAGGCGAGGAGGAGAGGAGGCGAGGAGGAGAGTGGAGGCGAGGAGCAGAGGAGGCGAGGAGGAGAGTGAGGCGAGGAGGAGAGGAGGCGAGGAGCAGAATGAGGCGAGGAGATTGAGGTAAGGAGGGCGAGGTAAGGAGGGCGAGGTAAGAGGGCGAGGTAAGAGGAGGGTGAGGTAAGGGAGGGCGAGGCAAGGAGGGAGAGGAGATAAGGAGGGGAGGTAAGGAGGGCGAGGTGGAGGCGGAAGGAGGGCGAGGCAAGGAGGAGGAAGTGAGGCAAGGAGGAGGACGAGGTAAGGAGAGGAGATAAGGAGGGCGAGGTAAGGAGGGCGAGGTGAGGAGGGCGAGGTAAGGAAGGCGAGTAAGGAGGCGAAGTAAGGAGGGCGAGGCAAGGAGGAGGACGAGAGGAAGAGGGCGAGGCAAGGAGGGCGAGGCGAGGGTAAGGCGAGGCAAGGAGGGCGAGGCGAGGAGAAGAATAAGTGAGACAGGGCCGATACGAATAGAAAAAAATAACGGATCATTGTATTAGCCCGAGATATTTATTAACTTAATCAACATAAACAAACCTAACTCAGCTCAACCCAATTTAACCTAACCTAACCAAAATAAACTAATCTAACCCAAACTAATCTAACCTAAGAAATCCTAATCTAACCTAATTTAACCTAACCCAACCCAAATTAACCTAACTTAACTAGAGTAAACTAACCTAACTTAACCCAACCTAACCTAACCCAAAGTAAACTAACCTAACCTAACTTTAATCCCCTCGACGACAAGGTTCCAATATCGTCAAGTAAATCACTAAGATGTTGTATGTAGGGGAGGGGAGGAGAGAGGAGGGTCAGTCAGCGATTCAGAATCTCCCCTCCAATCACCTTCTAACCCTCCCCCCTCCGACCCTCCCTCCCCTCCTTACCCCCTACCCCCCCTCCCTCATTCCCTCCCTCCCTTGGTGAACTAATGGACTCGGGCCCCAGGCTGCAAGACGCTGCTCCAACTCCCTCTAGATGGGAGATGAGGGGCGATGAGGTGAGGGATAGAGGGGAGAGAAAGTGTGGGAGAGGTATGGAGGGGGAGAGGAGGTGTAGGTGAGGGATAGAGAAGGAGATGAGGCGATGGAGAGGTGGTAAAGGGTGAGGGGCAGGGGGAGAAAGGGGGAGAATAGGGACAAGGGTGAAGGGTAAAAGGGATAGAGGTGAAGTGCGAAAAGGAGGGAAGACAAAACAGGAGTAGCGAGAGAAGGAATAGGAGATAAGAAAGAGGGAGGGAAGGAGGATTGAAAGTGAAATGAGAGGAATGGAAGGATGAAGGGAGAGGAGAGAAAGGGAGAGAGAGAGAGAGAGAGAGAGAGAGAGAGAGAGAGAGAGGACCACAGTGATCTGCAATAGTTCACCCTCACACGGCGGACTAACCAAAATAAACTACAAAACGACATCAAAGAAAACGGACACAAGAGCAACAAATACTACCCAAAAAACAAAACAAAAAACAATAAAAAAAATCAACAACAGCAACAACGACTATCTAACCACCCACCGATAGATCAAATTGTTGGTCACTGAAGCGTAAAGTTATTTCAATTTTTTTATTACTTTTTCTATCCGACAGTTTTCAATAACACGAATTTATAGAAGAATGGGAGTTAGGGAGGGGGGGGGGCGCGTCAGACAAATGGCTAACACAGCGGTGCTCGCCATGGGTAAACACCAAATAAAAGGCGAGACAGAGGCTGGCGTATGACCGAGGTGACCCCCTGCTGGCCATACATCAAAACGTCTGTTAGTTCAGAGTTTTATTAAAGTTGGTAGCACAGGTCGGGGGCCCAGTGGGAGGGGAGGGGAAGGGGGAGGTTAGGGGAGGGTGAGGGGTTGATGGATGGTGTAGGGAGGGGAAAGGTAGGGTAGGGGGGAAAGGGAGGGTTGGGGGGAAAGGAGGGAAGGCTTGGTCGGCCGGTGTAAAGAATTGTTGTGGTTATAATGTTATTACTGCGCTTTAACAACGGAAGTCTTTAAGCGTGTAACAAGGTCGAGAGTAA